TTTTTTTTTTCAGTGGCCCTAATCCTCTTCCGTACAAACCAGCAGCAGGAAGCAGATATAAAGAGCAGCAGCAAAGATTAGCAGCTGGGAGGAAGGATCTGTGACAGTGCTCCTCTGTGCATCAAGGGTGGGACAGTCTATCACTAAATGTGCTCTGCAGCTGCTGCTGTTGGTCCCCATGACGACAGATTGTCTTTTGGGTTTGGTGTTATGTTTAAGGTGGATGTGTGCATGGAGTTCAGGGTCTGGTTTAACTCTGATGAATGGAGTCAATGGAGAAACCACGAGAGTCAGTGAGTTTAAAGGTTTTAAAAAGGTTCAGTTTGTCTAATCATTACTGACCAACAGCTTTGCTTGTTGATCTATTGTAATGTTTAATTTCGTCAATTAGAGAAAAATAAACTGCTTTAATTGAATGTTAATTCCAAACAATCAGCTCATTTTCATCCTATAAAGACTTTCTAAGCCCAGACTATGAGATGAATGCAGCTGAAGGAGTCCCGCTCCCACCCAGGGAGCAGAGACAGCAGCTGGGTGGGAGACGCTGTGGGATTAGCTCAGCTTCTTCATGAACATGTGGGAGTTCACCCTCATTAATATTCATCGGCCCACAGAGTAAACAAGAAGAAGTCATTCCTTTTTCATCGTATGTTCCTCACAGCCTTCGGATGTTCAGCCTGACGCTAACCCTGAGGGGTACCTGGATCTCCATGCCCTGCTCCAGTAGCCTCTTGGCCTGGTTCTCCACCTCCAGCCTGGCTCTGCTGATCAGCAGCAAGTCGTTCTCGATCACCTCGATGCCGCTCAGATCCACACCTTGGGACAGGTAATCTGGAACAGAAACAAACGGATCTTAAAGCACCGGTTCAGACTCAGGATACAAAACACCAGCTCAGCTGTGGAGGTACAGTTTGGGGGTGATGCTGCTGAACCCAAAGTAACGGCAGGAATCACCTCCATCTCACTGAAATATCTCAAATTACCAAAAATAAACATCAGTTTTGGAAGTTTTCTTTACCTAGAGAGTCAATCAGTCACTGTCTGACTTTGTGACTATCATAGAGACTAGGGTCAGTGAGGAAGCTTCAGGTTAATAATGGTGATGATCTCTGACTTCCCCGTCACATAGAGCCTGTTGCCCTACCCGGGGCATTTAACCCCCAACAGTATAGGTTCCGGTATCATCAGGGTGCTGGAACCTCCACCATGTTAAGGTGATGCTTGGTAAATACCGTGCTTAAACAAAGACAGGCTCCACAATGATGGCGTTCATCATGCAGGAAATGTTGCAGAAAAATGTTTTTCAACTTCTCAGACTGTCTGCTGCTTCATCAAGTCGTCCCCTTTCAGCTCAAATTATCATATTCTGGCAGAAAAGATGACAGCAGGACAAGTCAGCTCCACAGATTAGTCAACAACACTTTGAAAGAAGCACATAGCACTTCTGACGGCCTGTTAAACATCTCTGCTGCCTTTAGCCATGCATCGTTTCTCCATCAACCGCCACAGAGGACGAGTACCCAACGCCTCAGGGGATAAATACCCGCCACCTCAGAGGACGACTACCCAACGCCTCAGGGGATAAATACCCGCCACCTCAGAGGACGACTACCCAACGCCTCAGGGGATAAATACCCGCCACCTCAGAGGACAACTACCCACCGCCTCAGGGGATAAATACCCGCCACCTCAGAGGACAACTACCCACCGCCTCAGGGGAAAAATACCCGCCGCCTCAGGGGACTACTACCCGCCGCCTCAGGGGACTACTACCCGCCGCCTCAGGGGACTACTACCCGCCGCCTCAGAGGACGAGTACCCACCGCCTCAGAGGACGAGTACCCGCCGCCTCAGAGGATGACTACCCGCCGCCTCAGAGGCAAATAACCCAGTGGGAGAGGAAATGTTGGAATGGATCATCCTGTAAACCTCCCAGAGAAACTGATTATGCTGATATGATGTTTCTAGAAGTTTACCAGGAGGAGAGAAGAACCTGGAAGATCATGGATCAGAGGATGATGGGCTTTAAACATCAGGATGGTGACCTCCTAACTGACTAACTAACTAACTGACTAACTAAGCCACAGCCTGCTGGCGTTTTACCAGGAGGCCCATCATGGTGTGGAACTATGGCGAGAGAGTGGGCAGATTTTTCCTACCCTTCCTAGCGGGACCCACTTTAACTGGGGCTATTTTTAATGAGGGAGTAATGCACTAATCTCACAGCTGATATGTTTGAGACATGCTGAGGGGTCAAAGCAGAGCGGCAGCAATGATTACACTTTAAATATTTAGATAACCTTCCCTCTGCTGAAGGCCATGTGACTCCAAGAGGAAAACAAGGCAGACCCGTTCAGCACCAGAACCTTCAGTCTGTAGGAACATCAGCCGGACCTACAGCTGCTGAGGAATGAAGGAACCTACCAGAGGATGAAGTAAACCCAGAGCTATAGAAATATATAACACCAGATCTGTCAGGATTTCAACCTCATTGGTTGATTTGTAGTTCTGTAAATTAACTAAATTCAATCTTTACACGAGTGGATAGATGTGTTAGTTCCAGCTCCCCTCAGTTACTGAAAGAAAAACCCTCAATGGTCACAGAGAGTAATACTAAATAAATGTTTATAAAAGTGAGCAGATAAAATTCAGATGTTGCTTTTAAAAAATAAACTGAAACTTTAGTTCCCAGGCTTCAGAGTCAATCTCTGCCATGATTGGTTCCTGGTCCTGTCAATCAGCCGTCTGCTCCTCCCAGCAGCTATTCTCTTCTGCTCCTCATCTAGGAGTCTCAGGCTGCCTTCCCAGTATCAGTTACCCCTCAGTCTGGACGCACACGCCTGAGAACAGCTGGATGTTCAGTGGTTATGTGAGTGGAAGACAGTTTAACTAAAGGAGCTGTAGATGTTGGCTAACATTTGAAGCAGTGGGTTTTAAACCATGCCCCTCCAGCCAGAAGACGGATGGAGTGAGAGATTGATAGATGGATTGTTGTAGAGCTGAGTCGGGGGGCAAAGTCCTCGATTTACCAATCGATCTTATGCTCCAACCCTCACCTATGGTCATGAGATCTGGGTAATGACCTAAAGGACAAGATTGCGAATACAAGCGGCCGAAATGAGTTTCCTTTGCAGGGTGGCTGGGCGCACCCTTCCAGATCGGGTGAGGAGCTCAGTTACCCAGGAGGACCTTGGAGTAGAGTCGCTGCTCCTCCACGTTGAAAGGAGCCAGCTGAGGAGGCTCAGGCATCCGTTCCTGATGCCTCCTGCTCGCCTCCCTCAGGTGGTGGTACAGGCATGTCCCATTGGGAGAAGGCCTGGTGGAAGGCCCAGGACACGCTGGAGGGACTATGTCTCTGGGGGTCCCCTGGAGGAAGTGTGTGTGCATCGGGAAGTCTGGGCATCTCTGCTTCGACTGCTGCCTCAGAGACCCAGCCCCGGATAAAGAGGAAGAAAATGGATGGATGGACGGGATTTAAACCAGGCCGCTTTAAACGTTTTCTTTAAACGTTTTCTTTAAAGGTTGATTTATGTCTGAAGCTCTTTGGAAGTCTTGTTTATCCATGAGGTGAAAAGCATTCAGGTTTCTCCTGAAACACGGCGAACAAAAGCTCCTGCTGATTTGGTCCAAGAATATCTCAGAACGACCAACATATGGTGAACACCTCTAAGAACTCCGCCATTATGGGGCAGCATGGCAAACATTTGGAAATGTTGATAATGCATGCGGGTCTGTGCTCTACGCTGCTCCCCTAGAGCCGGCCAGAATATTAGGTACAACGGGAATAAGCAGCACAGAGTATAAAAGCTGCAGCCCTCTGAGGGTCCCATTTCCAGGAAGAAGGTAGACGTTTCTCAGCATTAAGAGGCGAACCGAAACAATCTGTAATCTAAACAAAAACAGAAGCAGGTTTAGTGTCACTGCTGGGTAGTAGTGTTGGACTATAGGATTAAGTCCAGTCCTTGGAGTCCCAGTCTGGTTCTATGTGACCATCAGACTAAAGATGCTGGTTTTGATCCATGGTTGGGGGAGGGGTCTGATATCGTCTCAGCGCGTCCCTTCTCATTAGCTCTGACCCTCAGCTGGTTCTCTGATGGAGGGTGTATGCTTCCAGGAACTCCAGGATTCTAGACCTGCTGGTCCAAACAGCTCCAATACCAGAACCAGGGCCGTTTCTCAATTCACAAGAACGAGAGAACGGAATCGTGTTCTCGCCAAGTATGTCCTTGAGAAGAACATAGGAAAGTCTGGTTTCGGTGAGAACGGGAGCACACAGAATAAATATGGGTCAATTGGAACAGAAGTGTGCTCGTGACATCACCACATGCTGGTATAGAGCTGCATTTCACCTCCTGTTATTAATAGTCTCTATATAATAACAAATTATTACTGTTATTATTTATTGGGGAAATAATAATGAACACAGTCAGATAAGCACAAATCAATTGAACATTTTGCCAAATAAAACAAAAAGAAAATCGCTATCAGAGCCAGTGGTCCTTCACACATGGCTATACCGAGAGAGGGCTGCTACCGACGGGCTAACGTTAGCCCTGGCCGTTGCAGACGGGCTAACGTTAGCCCTGGCCGCTGCAGACGGGCTAACGTTAGCCCTGGCCGCTGCAGACGGGCTAATGTTAGCCCTGGTCGCTGCAGATGGGCTGAGGCTAGACCTGGCTGCATTTAGCCTCGGAGGCCTTTTAAGTTCCGCATTAAATCAGTAAATGGGTCATATAGTGACGCTTTAAAGTATAATATTCTCGTCTCAAATGATCTTAAAACTTACTTTTATTGAACAACAGCAACAGAAAAGAGAACTTTTAACTTTAAAAGGAGCGCTCCATTGAAAGCTACTGCTGCAGCAGTGCATGCTGGGACAGCTGTCAATCTCAAGAACGGACAATTCTGCTCTGATGCATGCTGGGTAAAGAGGGCGGGGCGAGAACAACACCTGGGGATTTTGTCCGTTCTCGTTCTGCTGTTCTTATGAATTGGAACAGTACTAGGGCTGAGGCTGAAGACGTTTCACGAGGACACAAGGACACACAAGTACACATATTGAGAAACGGCTATCAATCTGACGGGTCATTTAGAGACAGCACAGTACTGCCAGCCGCCTGTAGGGGGCGCTGAAGCTGCAGGTCCTGCAGGTTAAATGTTCCATGGTACTGCTTTAACGGGACATTATCTACATTTTAACTGGTAAATATCTTATAATAGCCTTTTTATTTGAATATTTATGACTAAAACACATTTTAATGAAGTACTGACGCCTCAGTAGTTCATCTATCAGCCGGTTTCCCTGAACCATATCGGGTCAGAAGTTCCTGCGCTGTTCAGCAGAGGTCAGGACAAGCACGCCGGCCTATCAAACAATTGAAGCATTATATTCAAGATGGATGGACACTCAGAAGCTTTCGGCTAAACTCAGACATCAGCAGAAACTCCTCCAGGGTGAAAAGAGTAAAGATAAAAACATGGTTGAGAAAGAGAGTGAGCTATGAGGACGAGCAGCAGCAGCAGAGAGCTGCAGTTTTGTGTTTTGGCCACAGGTGGCAGCATCATTAAAAATCACTGTGATGCCTCTATTAGAAAGTCAGCTTCACCTTTTTATTCCTCCAAGCTGTTTTTATTGAACTGAACCCTTCTTCTTTTTTTACTGCCATTAACTACGATTAAGAATTGAAAATGATGATGAGGATGGTGGGTTTGGATCTGAGCTCCTTTTTCACACATTTGGACGTGTCTAGATAATCTAACAGGTCTCTGATCAGATCATGATCACATTGAGCCTCAGTCTGGTTCACCTTTACTCTAATAATATGCATTTTATCCACTAGGAGGCAACTTTGCCTTCAGCATTTCCAACCTCAGACCAACAGGCTCTCACTTCTCACTGCTGAAGCTCCTTTCAGACGTCTGAACCCCTGATGACTGAAATGTCTGATGGGTAAACAGTGAAATAAATCTGGGAATCATTCACAGAGTGGTGGAAAATACTGATGCCCCAGAACGTGCCTCTGAGGAACGCCACAGGCCAACTAGAGGAACAATTTCCAGGATATAGAAAAAGTTAAAGCTCAGCTTTAATTAGCAGAAGTAGTTTTCATTTTAGTCGATGCTCTTTGCTTCACTGTTTATCTTTTTATAGGCGATGTTTGTTTGGATCTCTGGAGTTTATAAATGTTTGAAAATGAGCTATAAAATAAGTCTTTGGTTATTAAGGCCTGATGTTTGGTTTTGCCCCAAACGTAAAACATTTATTAATGACGGCTCTCAGGGACTGATAAAAAGTCAGAATCTATAAGGTTTCATTTCTGCAGACATCCAAGCTCACCAACCAGCTGAAGGACCCTGGTTGGTTTCACCATGAGGGCCAGAGAGGATTCCTAACCACATATAGCAGAGGCTGGACCGTTCTCAGAAGGGTGGATAAAACATTTTGACACGGAGCTGCCTGATGGGCTCTCATGTTGTTTGTGTTTGCAAACACCAGGGAAGATTTTCACTTAAAGCGGAGGTTGATTCAGACAAGCTCCCTAAAACAACCACATGTGGGATTTTTCTCTGAGATGTAAAGAAGCACATGAAGGAGAGCAGGAGGAGCACCAGAAAATGAACCAGGAGGGCTCTGAGCTGAAGTCTGCTAGGGCCACTGTTGCCATGCCAATGCCAAGTAGCCCTAATTAGTCCGCTGACAGGCTTCACTCCAGATACACTCGGCAGGCAATAAGGACCAGTCTGCATAGCCAGATCAGGTGCTATGCAAACAGGAGGAGGGGCCAAAGTCCTGTCAGGATGCATGTTGTCATTATATCACCATGGAGACCGTTTCTGCCTAAGCTGTGAAATAAATATGGAAAGAGTCAAAAAGGATGAAGAGATGAAATGAGCAGGAGGCTAAATCTGAGTCAGTCAGTAGAAACGAAGGAGTAGAGGAGAGAGAGGCAGCGACGGAGGAGGAGGAGGAGGGAGCAGTAGATGAGTAGGGAGGGCTACTGGAGGCAGGAAGCATGACAGAGAGACAGAGAGAGGAAGAGGTTTCATTCTTCCCTCTGACAGGATTCAGCAGGGCAGCAAAGAACTGGCTGATGGAGAGCTGAGCTGCAGGCGGGGTTAGCCGCCAGCAGCGTGATCCCCTGGGTAGACCAGAACACCTCCGCAAGGTAAGCTAACGCGTGCCTCCATCACAACACCACCGCATGAGAGGAATCATCTACAGACTGTGCCTTTAACTCGGCATGCCGATAGGCTGAACAGCAGATCCCACAGGATCAGGAGGGAAACCAGTCAGGCTGAGGCAGCAGCTGTCAGAAACCAGTCAGACCAGCAGGTCCTCCAGCTTAGCTACTGGCAGATTTCTTATTTAGCGCTGAACGAGTCCGACATGCTTCCAGTTTGGGTCAGTCCAGGTCATCTTACACCTGAGTTTAATTGCATCACTCTAAACCAGGTAAATCTATAAGTTATGAACTGCTGGCTGACAGGATGGACAGAAATATCAGAACATCATCAGCGTAGAGTGATTCCTGTCCCAGACGTGACTCCATGCGCATCCTGCTGCTAACCAACTGGAAGGCTGATGGCGCTACGCTAACTTTATAACATGGATAGCTGATGGTTTTGATCCATCCAATCAGATCCTCACCCCAAACATAACATTTCTAACCAAAGCTTCTTTCCCACCGAAAATAGCAGGTTAATGGATGTTTTTCAAACATGGCCGACCGACTAACAATCAGAATCTGGCTCCCTTCCCGCTGGCTAAGAAAGCTGCCCCCCCACAGCTGCTGTCTGGTGACATCATCACACTGGGTTAGCTTTGATGATGTCAGGAGTGCGACAGAAATCAGGAAAGTAAACAATGGAGAGCAACATTGAAGGAAGCCATGGCGTAGTCAGTTTGCTTTATTGTTTCTCTCTATTATCTATTATCTGTCTGAATCCCTCTCAACAAAACTGCTCCATGTTTATGATTTGCTGAGGCAATTTTAACCCAGGTCGCTGTCCGAGTCGTTTGACCCGCATAGACACGCGTCAGTTAGCTGGTCCCACTGCCACTAAAAGCTGATTGTTTCCATGTTTAAACCGGTTTTTCCCCCAGTGGGGAAGGGGTACAAGCCAATAAAAAAGTTGAATAATAAAGTTAGTTAGTTTTTATTCAACTAACTATAAAGTTAGTTGAATAAAAAAAAAAACCCTGTCATTGTCTACAGATGTGAGCAAAGCCAACTGATTACCAAGCCATCATCACCATCCCCTTGGCAGCAAATGGACGTCTCTAACAGCAGTTATTCTGCATTTATCACAGCGCTTTGCAATCAGCAATGCTTTGCTTCGCTATGGAGCTCCGTCTCACTGAAGGGCGACCCTCTCATGTCTACAATGTTCATTCACTTCATCTCAACTTATTTAGAAACAGAAGCAGCATAGATTGAAGGGAAACTTTAGTGTTTTCTAAATCAGCTTGTTGTTTCCAGCAGCCGTTGCTGGGCTGGGTTAACGCAGCAGACCCCTTTCACTGCTGATTTACTGAACAACATATGATGGGAAGCATCAAAGAGTCTGAACAGGGAACTAAAAGCGATTAAACGGACTCTCCTCACACGCTGACAGCCCTGTGAGCGCTCACAGATAGCATCTAAGCAGCACTGAAGTGTCGGTGGACGGCGGCGGAGCTGGAATCGGCCTGAACATGTGATGCAACAGCCAGACCACAGGATAAGCATCTATTTCAAGGTGACCCAAATATTTCTGCCTTTGTCTCCGCAGGCTTTGAATGGGAGCAGAGCACCGTCCCAGGGAGAGATGACGGAGGGAAGTGACACACTTCTCTCCTTCCCCCATGTAGAGAGCAGCACGGAGACTCTGCATGACCAGAAGTGAAGGAGACTCGTTGGGCTGAAGGGACCTGAACGGAGACTGGAAACACCAGCTCATCTTCCCTGCCTGTCGCCGCTTTTCTCCTTCAAACTCTCTGGAATTTAACACCTGCATCCTGCAGACAGAAAGGTGTGAAAGTGTGAAAATCACACCTGGAGAGCCGTGATTGGTGGAGAGAGGGACCGCTGAGGAACCAGCATCGATGACAACAGCTCAGACACAAAAGGACAAAGACGAGACTGTTGATGAAAGACACCATTGATCTCTGAGCTGATGCTGCACAGCACATGCCCTCCATGAGCGCTGGCTGGGTGCTGCTCCTGGCTTCTCTCTTCGATTAGAAAAGGAAGCATATCTAGACATACAGAACCAGAGGGATTCTACAGATGTTCAGCTGAAGGACGGACGTCCCTGCAGATCCAGGAGACAGGATGGGAGGCCACCTGCAGGTCCTGCCCTAGGGCATGAGGAGACGTCCTCCAGGAGGATCCCTCTGACGGCCGAGCCACAGAGGACGCTGATGGGAGGGAGCGGTGAGTCAATGCCTGATGTCACATCTAGGTTTACGTTTCTATAGTCCAAACCCCAAAGGAACACAGGCTGCTGCTGCAGTGCCCAGTTTACTGACTCAGCAGTTGCTGATCAGGAGGAAGGTAGAAATATGTTCCTAGATGTGTCTGATGATGGAGCTGCATTCACATGGAGAAGGGTTTCACAGACCCTCCAGTTCCTCTGAGGTCTTTCTTCCACAGTGGAGCCATAAAGCTTCACGCTCTGAGGCTGAATCCCAAACCGGCCTCCGGTCCCATGGAGCATTAAGGGCCGTCCCAAACCCCTTAGTGGGTAGGGCCAGTGAGCCGTTCAGCCCTTAAATAGCAAGTCTGCATCAGTTGCAGGCTAAGTGGCAGCAGGTGTAACAGTGAAATAGGGCGGAGGAAACGTGCATTAAATGCAAGTTCCACTGATTTCCTGCATCAAAAATCCCGAGTTAGGAAAAGAAAAAAGACGTCATTAATCCACGAAGGGAAGGTCCTCTATGAAACAATTTAATTTGACTGGATAGATTTATTTATTAAGAAAATGGCAAATGTGGGACAGAGCTACAGCCACGCACATGACGCGCCACTGTGTTGCCATAGCAACCACTGCTGTCCTTTATGTTGGAGGGAAAAGGCCGTCCCAATCACGTTTATACCCCCCAACCACCTTCAATCAAGGCGCCTTCCACAGATGAGAGTGATGCTTATGGTAAAGGGGTGGGGCTTAGGGGGCGTTGATGCTTCATCTCTATGGTGATGAGCTTAGAGCTTGGAGGAGCTTCACCTTTATCTGTAGCTCCCTCCTCAGACTGAAGTCAGAAAAAACATTTAAAGCTGAATCTCCAGAGAATGGATGATATTCAACTGTAGACAACTCCTCCTAAAGGGGAGGAGTTAAAGTATCTGAGGGTCTAGATGATTAGTGATTGGAGGATGGAGCAGGAAGGCTGCAGGAGGCGGCTCTGCTGAGGCGGCTGCCTCCTCTGTCAGTCAGTCCTAGATGAAGACGTACCAGGATATTATAGGATGGATGTTGTTTTCAGGTCCGGTAGTTTAGAGCTGGATTTCACTTAGGATGGGAGCCTCGACCTCTGACCTTTCCCCTGCTGTCCCTCTCCATCAGCTGCTAACACAGCAGAAGAACCAGGTCCTTATTCTGCTAGCATACTCTCCCCAATGCGCCTCAACCAAACACAGACCAATCCGCTGATAGAGGAGGATGGAGGACCTTCCTCAGGCGGGTTTGGACCGTGTTCTGTGTCGGTGCTGGCTGTGATCCATTAGTTATGGAAGAATAGCGAGAGATGGTGAAACATCTGGCCAAAAGGAGAGGGACTGACAGACCTCCAGGCCTCCTCTTCTGATCCAGGTCCATCTGTGCTCCTCTCTCCAGGTCTCTTCTTCCTGGCAGCACAATGCACACGGCTGCAGAGCTGAGCTCCGGCGCTACGATGAGCAACATGACTGTGCAGGACTCCCCTGACCTCTACGAACTCGACCTGACCTCCTCTGAGGACGTCTATCCCATCGGCTTCCAGGTACTCCTACTGTCCACTAAAACCATGTGTTAGCATGAGACAGCTAAGCTAACTGAATGATGATGAATGATGGCGGGAGGGGAATGTGTGTCCTTTCACAATAAAAGACAGAATCTCCACTCTGATTTCTATTGTAAGGTTTCCTTGACAAGCTTCCTGGTTCTGGAGATCGTGTTGGGCCTGAGCTCCAACCTCATGGTTCTGGTCCTCTACTGCATGAAACAGAACCTCATCAGCTCCGTTTCCAATGTCATCACCATGAACCTGCATGTGGTGGATGTGTTGGTGAGTTCCCCCTCCATTGACCCACAGGATGGTTGAAGATTAGACCTCCCACTGCTGCCCCCATCAGTACACCATCACCATCTTTCTTCCTCATCCACCATCTTCCTTTCAGTCCTCAGGCAGAGATTGTTGGCCACTTTACAAGGGACTAGATCCCAACATGTTGGCGGTTATCATCTGCGTCATATCAGGCGGCTGAAAGGCAGCAGATGAGGAGAAGCTAGTAGACCAATCAGAACCGCTCCACAGACAGCCTCTTTATTTTTCTATACTGGTTGTCCAGGAACACGTGACCAGCGGCAGATCTGATTTCTGGTCTTTATGACGGTTCTCTCAGAGAGTAAAGATGAGGTGACAATGTCTGCCGTCTGTTTCTGGACGTAACGTGAACTTCTCTCCTGTTCCAGGTGTGTGTGGGCTGCATCCCTCTGACGTCCGTGGTGATACTCCTCCCTCAGGAGGCAGGAACGGCCTTGATCAGCTGCTTCCATGAGGCCTGCGTGTCCTTCGCCAGTGTGGCTACCGCTGCGAATGTGCTGGCCATAACCGTGGACCGTTACGACATCTCAGTGCGGCCAGCGAACCGCGTGCTGACGATGGGCCGGGCTGTGGCTCTGCTGGGATCCATCTGGGGTCTGTCCCTTTTCAGTTTTCTGGTTCCGTTCATGGAGGTGAGCTTCTTCGTCGGACCCGGTTCCCATCTAGTGAACCAGACGGACTCGGCGACGGTCCTGGACGAGAGTGGGCCTTACTCAGAGCTGGGTTTGTACTACCACCTGCTGGCACAGATCCCCATCTTCTTTTTCACTGCCGTGGTGATGCTGGTGACTTATTACAAGATCCTCCAGGCATTAAACATCCGCATTGGGACCCGCTTTCAACACAACCTGCCCAAAAAGAAGCCTAGAAGCAAAAACACCATCTCCCTTAGCACCGCTGCACAAGCAGAGTCCACAGAGGCGTCCCAGAGCAGCACGGCGGGTAAGGGCGGTGGAAGTGCCCCGCTAGGCATGCGGGCATCGGTTTCAGTGATCATAGCGCTAAGGCGAGCGGTGAAGCGGCACCGCGAGAGGAGAGAGAGGCAGAAACGGGTTTTTAGGATGTCTCTTCTGATCATCTCCACCTTCCTCCTCTGCTGGACTCCGATAACCGTTCTTAACACAATCATCCTCAGCGCCGGCCCCAGTGACCTGACTGTACGCCTTCGGCTGGGTTTCCTGGTGATGGCGTACGGGACCACCATCTTTCACCCTCTCCTCTACGCCTTCACCCGTCAAAAGTTTCAAAAAGTCCTCAAAAGTAAGATGAAGAAGAGGGTGGTGTCAGTGGTGGAGGCAGAACCGACCCCGAACAATGTGGTGATTCACAACTCCTGGATTGATCCGCGAAGGAACAAGAAGGTCACCTTCGAGGACACTGAGGCCAGACAGAAGTGTCTGTGCTCACAGGAAGCAGAGTGAGGGACGGTGCATTGGACATCCTGCAGCAGGCAGCGGATCAGGATGTTCCCTTCGTTAGGAGACAAAGAGTCTGATTACACCGGCTCTGGCACAGTGTTTTCCACCTGACTGAGTGACTAACCGATGAAGCATCAGCAGAAACTGCATTAAAACTTTCTGACAAACATCTGCATTCTTCTCATCCTTTCATTTCAGGTAACAGATGGAGCGGTTCTTGTATCAAAGCGGTTATTCCAGCCTCTGTAGACTCCACTAGGAGCTGGGGCGGGCCTGCTGGTTCCCTATGGCCCCGTACTAAGCTTTAAGGCTGCTTTTAAAACGTACTGTTTCGTTCGTAACCCCAAAAGCCACACAGGAAATTTCATTTTCTGCTTGGAGGTCTGACACACGGTTTTAGTCAACCAGCCCAGGTTCAACAGGCAGCCCGCTGGTTCTGAGTTTAAATCTTGATGTTCTTAAAGGTCACATCTAAAACCTGTACATCAAAACAATTTTTTTAATGAATCCGGGATCCAGGGTGGAGCAGAGTAGTCCAACATTTAAATATTTCCAGTATATAAATCAATGTTTCATACATTTTGATCTCTAATCTATAAATATCTACTTCTAGTTACCATGCCAACAATGACATGAAAAAACTTCTACTCCAATACGAGTCATGAGACGGAGCACAGGCCTTTCCAGATCCTAGCTGTGATCTCTGGGTTACATTTCTCTCATTCACACCAATAATCCCAGAAGCAGCAAATTAGGATGTGGCCAGGCTTTAGAACAGGGTCAGGCTTTAGAACATGATCAGGCTTTAGAACAGGGTCAGGCTTTAGAACATGA